TGAACAAAAATGATGAAATACGTAACCCGAAGAAAATTATCATCCTACAAAAAGAAAAAGAATCGAAACAAAATTTAGTTGTAAGATTAATATCAAGATTAAAATGATACTGATACATATTGAATATTCGAGATTTCGTTTACATTTTAAAGTATTTTATTGGTAGTAAATTATACGAATTTTTATCAAATTAAAGAATACGAGATGTCACTATTGAACAATAGTTATAATCGAATAAATATATATATTCAATTGAAATCTTTTTCTTTGTTAAAATTATTTATTGATTATCAAAAAAATCTCGTTTACATAGGTCACTTATTATTTTCCAACCTTTTTCACCATCTTTTGTACGCATATCAGGTTTAAATCCAAAATCAGTATACATATTCACTGACTTTTTTTAATACTGCAGATACTAATGATTTAGCTAATTTTTTTCCTTGATATTCTGGTATTATTGCGGAATTAACCACAAAATAGAGTCGTTCGGATAATAAATGATTATCTTTATGTTTTAAAAATTCTTTAACAATAAAAAGTTCATCAGCTTGTTCAACAGTATGAAATTCTCCAGTAGCTAACATTATAATTGAAATGAATATCTAGATGGAAGTGAATAGGATAATATTGAGTCCATATTTTTTCTAGTCATTCTCACTTTTACATATTCAATTTCATTAGTTGATTGATGAAGATAACTGGCTGCCATATTACTTAAAATAAAATAAAGTTGTAGTCTAGTAAGATAAAGAAATATAGCAATGAGTGTTATCATTTTATTTTCTGCGTTCTTTACAAAGTTATTCATCGAGTAGAGAAAATTTTTATAATGAATGGATTAAATTGTATTTGTTTTGAAATAGTAGATCCATATTATACAATATTTATTGTATAGATTTAATAAATGATATATAGTAAAATATTCTAAAGACTTATGAGAAGTGTTCACTTATGAGAAATATTATATATTTTATTACAGAATGAAGTGAATTTTCAGGAAATGGACTTCTTTACTTCTATCTACACACAGTATAAACAATAACCGAGTTTGTTTATTTATGTCTCAACAGTTTAATACGATAGATAGACGAAATACAATACAGTGTTTAGTTGTTTTTATTAATATTATTTTGTGAAAAAAGATGAAGAAATTCATTAAGATTAAGTTCATTTGGCAGAGCATCGATCGTATTTATCTCTTCATTTAATATATGAAGAGTTTGAAATGCTTCATGAATTTCTTCTGAAAAATAAAACTTATATCTATTTTATATTTTTATTCTCGTATGAAACGAACCCAATGTCATTTTTTCTCCATCTGTCATCTATAATATTATAGAATAAAATCGATTATAAAAAAAGAATACTAATATGAACACTTACGAGATTTTGTATAAGTGAATGAATATTAATTTTTAAATTTTTTGATGATTTAAATTCATTAAAAATAGATTGAAGTATATCATTAGTTGATGTTTGATTAGTATTATTAGCAAAATGATTGTAGTAAATTTGGATTGTTTCATCAAAATTAATTTTAATCTTATATGGATCAAGAACATGTTTTTTAAAACATTGTTCATCATATAATTCTTGTATTTGTCGTTCAGATATATAATTACCAAGTGCACGAGTAAAATCCGTAATTAAAGGTAAAGAAATAACTTGTTCAATTTTTAAATTACTTGCATCTTGTAATTGAATATAATAAAATAATGATTCAAGTTGTTTTAATTTCATATTTATTTCTATAGTTGAATTTTCTATTCGTTTTTCCATAATTGACAAATCAAATTTCCATACAAATATACAATTATCTTTTTCACCACAAGAAATGAGAAGATTATGATTTGCTGTAACATCAAATGTTCGTATACCATTTGAATGAGCTAAAATCATATCGTATTCATTTTTATGACCTGTTCCTGGTAATTTCATTACACCAATTGCAGTTGATGTTCGAAACGCAAGATATGATGTATGAAGAATATTTTCATAATCAACTGGCCAGATTTTAATCTGATGAAATGATGAAGGAATAGTTTGAAGAGTATGTCGACATTTATTTACATTTGTATCAAAAAATTTAATTCGTCCATTATTAATTGTACATAATAGATAATCAGTTTTTCCATCAATAGAATAGGATACAATAGAAGAAATATATGATGGATATTCAATAAGATTTATACAAGATTGTATTCCAAATGGTTGTTCTCGTTCATAATCAATATAATATTCAATAAGATTTCCATGATTATCAGATGAAAATAATTGTTGTTTTTTTGTAATTCGATCTTCTGTAAATAAAATTGCAGTAATATGACTAGAATGATCTATATAATGTCCATGATTATGATAAATATGAAATTTTTCTTTATCTTGAATATATAATGTAATTTCCTTCAGGAAATAATTTAATAGTTTATTAGTAGTTAATCAATCAATAAGCTTACTGAATCGAGACTAACAGCAGTAAGAAAAAGTGTATTTGGTGAAAATTCTAAGAATATTATAGATGATTGAGAATTATATAATGGACGATTGTCAATTGGATTATATGTAATAGCTATAAATGAAAAATACATTTCAAAATATTCTTAGAGGAAAGATTTTCATACCATCATATAACCAAATTAAACCATTATCTAAACCGATAGCTAAATGTGAATATTTTTTGTTAAGTGCTAATTTTGATATTCCAATACTAGTTGAAGTTGATATCAATTTATCAAGAAATAAAAAACGTCCTAAATAATACTAAAATAATAATTTCTAATGGTATTTATCATGCATATATATACCTTCACCATGCCAAGCATAGAGGTGTCCTGTTGAAGTGCCTATATACAAAACTGGTAATAATGGATTGAGACAAATATCTGTAATTTGACCCATCGGTGCTTTTTGTACAATTTTGACTAGGAATAATCTATTTCTATTATCATGTATTCATATAGACACAACATACTCAATGAAAAATCTTGTTGTGTAACAACAATTGCCTTTAAATTAATATATGTACATAGAGATAGTCTATATATATGATACATACGTGATTTGATTGACAAATTACTTCATTAAGTTTAAAAGATTTATTTTTATTATCAAGTTTATCTATTAATTTTTTCTCTTCATTTTGATTATCTTCACTTATACCAATACCAATAATAGCACCAATATTTAATGATGAATATTGTTTGATAAAATGTAAATTATAATCAAAAATAGTTATTTGTGATTGATTAGTTCCAATAATAATGTGATTATTAAACCATTCAATACATGTTATATCATGTTGTAAATCATGTAAACGTTTTATTATAGTTTTATCTGGTATATAAATTTGTTGTTCATTTGATGATGTTATGTGTGCATGTTCAACTTCGAAAAAAATAGCTTTACCACTTGATGTTATTATTACTGCTTCACGTTTACTAGGAATCATATAACAAAATAGGATTGAATTAATTTGTTGACCAAGTTTTCGTTGAATATTACAATGAACTTCTAATTTAAAACGATCAGAATCTTTATTATGAACTAAATATATATGTTTCGTACTTATTTAATTTAATCTTATGTAATTAAATTTACTATGAAATATGACAGAATCCATTCCAATACTACAAAAAATTGATCGATCTTCAATCATATTAAACCATGATTGACGTTCACAAATAACTGAAATTATTGGTGAAACAATTGGACTAACATCATTATTTGACCAACGCCAAAGAATAAGTTTTTGATCGGGTATTTCAGTTAATATACTAATCAATTTTCCATCACGTGATATACATATACGAATTATACCTGTTTCGTGTATATTCGTTAAATATTTGATCGGTTTTAATGTATAAGTATTCCATACAATTAAAAATGTTTCTGGTATTGATTCAGCTGTAACTAACCATTGTTTATCATATGAAACTGCTGCACTTTTAATATTCGATATATGACCTTGTAAAAGAGTTTGCGCTTTTCCACTTCCTGTACCTATAATACCAACATTTCCGGCTGCATAGAAATATCGAGTTTTGCCACTGATAGATAGATTCAATAATGGTACAGTGTCATTCATACCAATAATCCATTTGAGTGAAAGAGATGAAGGATTATTATTTGTTTGAACATCTTTTACGCTAGATAAAGCCATAAATTAATTTTATTAAGCAGAAGAATATAAGTAAATGCGCTAAATTATAGTTCAGAATAACAGATGGCGTTCATATCTGATGACATATTATTTTAATATGAATAAATACTTGACAACATCAGAGGTTCCATCGAAACAGTATAGATTATGAAATTTTTATGATGACACAGTATTGCCATTATTCATCTTCCTTCCGCTCCCAGAAAATTCCGTTGTTGTTCTTCCTTTTTTTCTTCCTTGCTTTTGATTTTTTATATATAATGTCGTGCATAATGATAATCTATCCGTTAGTTACATTTTCTTTTTAGTCTGTTTTTAACTATCACTGTTAGTCATTTTATATTTTCTATGGTAAAAAATAAATGAAATGAACTAGAGAGATAAAGAAATACTTTTTTTCTATGTAGGGATTACTTGATATATTACGGAAATTTCGTTCAACACCACAAGATGAACTTCGTATTTTACTTTTAGGTCTTGATAATGCTGGAAAGGTGAGAATTTCACATGTCTGTATACATAACCACAAGAAATAATATCATTTTAGACAACATTACTAAAAGTTCTTGCTTCCGAAGATATTTCACATATTACACCTACACAAGGTTTTAATATCAAAAGTGTGCAATCAAGTGGTTTTAAGCTCAATGTTTGGGATATCGGTAAAAATATTTCACTCAATGTTATTTCTTTATAAAAAAAATATATATCTTGTAAGGTGGTCAACGTAAAATTCGACAATATTGGCATCATTATTTTGCAAATACTGATGTTTTAGTAAGTTTCCTATTATTTTTTCTTCTCATCTTGTATATTTATGATTATAGATATATGTTATTGATAGTTCTGATCGAAAACGTTTTGATGAAACAAATCAAGTAGATTTTCATTAATCATTTTATTATAAAATATTTCTTTTAGGAATTATCTGAATTATTAGAAGAAGAAAAATTAAACGGTGTACCTTTATTAGTTTTTGCTAATAAACAAGATTTATTGAATGCTGCTAAAGCATCAGATATAACTGATGGTTTGTCATTACATCAAATACGTAATCGACCTTGGCAAATTCAAGGTTGTTCAGCATATACAAAAGAAGGTGTTAAAGTAAGGAAGATATTTTTTATATTTGCTATTCATTTTTATTCTATGAATTTAGGAAGGTCTAGAATGGGTATCAAAAACAGTTGCTAGTAATAGAAATAAAAAATAAACACAACGAGTCTTAATATAAAAATATATCAGGCTATTGTTAATGTATATTTTTTGAAAAATGTTCTTCTTCCTCAATGAAAACTTTATTTCTCTATGCTTTTCCCGAGTGTGTACGACATATGTAAATGTGTCAAATACAAATCAAATCGGATGTTGTGGCTTTTTATGTTTGTGTTTAATAAAGTTTTTGAAACAATTTTATGCTGGATTAATATTGAAAGAAATTAGTTGAAGCATGTATAAAATAAAACTATATTATAAATAGCTATTTGACTAGAAAATAAGAGTAGATGATAAAACTTGTCAAATAGAAGAAAAATGACTGCGTATTATTTAGTAATCAATGTATTTAGACTGAAAATAGATGTCAATATACTTTCAAAAGATTTTTAATGTGTACGAAGGATGGGTGTAATTTTGGTTATACATGTAGGTTTGAATGTATATACGAGCGCTGGTGTTGATGAAGAGAGACTTACACTAATACCCACACCCTCGCCAATCGTTACATAAGTTATTAATCTTTTAAAATTGAAAAACAAGAATATTCAATAAAAAGTTTTGTCTTTTCATTTCATACAAGATTCAAATAGAGCAATCATGCGTAAAATTAGAACTACAGTTATTTCAAACAACTAATGGACTGTACAATTTTATTTTATATAATTTATTTATTCAAGTAACAAATGAAAATAATTATGGTCTACACATACATATCTCGAAAAAATAATTTTTGAAATTTTTTGGAAGGTGACGAATTTTCTCCAAGCATATAAATCGCATTTTTCCACAATTCAGTCGTGTTGCTTTACGTGTAAATTTGTGCGTCACTCTTCTTAAAGATTTATAATCAATTGAAAGAGTAACATTAGATGGTAAATATGTTCTGGTGTCAATTAGAAATTGTTCAATATAATCATCATGAGTTGTTACAAAGCGGAGACTTTGTAGATGAGGATATTGAATAATTAATAAATTTTTACGAGTATTTTTTGATTTTCCACATTGTGGTTTTCCATTCTGAATAGTTAATTGTTTCAAAAGGGAAAATGATTGAGAGATGCGAACAAAAAATTCATGTTCAAAAGGGTGTTCGTCAAATAATGATATTTCACTGACACATGTAAATAAACCACCTGGAAAATTGTTCGCAATATTTGGATATATTCGGATTGTAAATGGGTATGAATAAATATGGCAGTGACCTTTTCCTTCTTCAGAAAAATAATTAATACAAGAGCTAATTTGAATATCTGGAAAATGTTCGAATGAATGTTGAATATCTTCAAGCGATGGTAAATAAATTTGATCATTTAACAATATACTTGAACAAATATTTAAATGAAGTTTATTTAATTGTGGCATATAATCAGTGATATTCATTTTTATATCATTACCATCAACAAATCTGGCTTGTTTATTGATCAATAAATATAAATGAAGTTGCTCTAAATTTGACATTCGTTGTAACAGTGGTATAATTGTTCTATCATACGAATGCATTGTCGAAAAACAATATAACGAAAAACATCGTAAATTGTGTAATTTATTCTAAAAAGAAAGATCATATAGATATTATTAACGTTGAATGAAAACATACTTGGTTTATCTTTAAGCCTGGCCGTACAAATCCATATTGTACATCAACATAAAAAGTTCGAAGTTGATCGAAACGATCATCAAGTAAGTAAAGGCAATCAGTAAAAGAATCAACTTTGACATGCAATTGTAATAAAGTTGAAGAAAACATAGATGGTGGTGTATATACGAATGCCATTCGTTGATCATAGAAAAGTAATGAATCAAACTTGAAATATCGTAAGTGGCTTAAAGTATTAAGAATATACGCGAACAAATGTGTATTAACTTTCTTGAATGTATCATTTTTATCAACAGATTTAATCACAAGCGATGAGATTTGATTTTTAAATCTTTGCATAAAAATATTTTCTGTTAAAAATATAAATAAAAAATTTGATTTGAAAGAAATCTTTTTAATTATTTAGTATTTTACCTTTCAAGAAACGTATATCATCGTCACTTTCAATATTATATATACCAAGACCAAATAAATTCGGATAATTTCGAGGAAGTAAGATACGTTCTATTGATGATACTTCAATATTTAGCCAATTGATTTTATAACTAATTGCAGGTAAAATTTGAGAACAAAATCGATCAAGAATTGAATCAGATAATCGAGAAATACTCGTATGAGATACGTGCTCGAATAATGTTAGATGACTAGTAAATATAGAATCATGTGCAATTTTAGTCAGTCGTTGATTAACACCAACGAAAGAATGAAGTATATGATGTTTTTCTAATTTTGTGAAAATAATTAGAAGAATTTCATCAGATAAATCATTCAATTCAATTGATGAATGTTTCATGTCGATATATATATGTATAATTATTTATATCCTTGTTTATAGAATAATAATTGTACGTGTCTATTTATATTCGACCGTTCTATATCCGTGACCGATGTCGTTCATCAAAACAATTATGCATTTTATTGTAGTCTAATAATGTGAATAGACAACGAATAAATGGCATTATGTCTTAATGAGATATAATGGCGTAGAATACAAAGCGTTTTATTTTTTCTGTCTCATTGGTCACTCTTTGTACCATATTGAAGATTTGAGGATGTGAATGAAGAAGAGGCTCTCATACCCTCACATATACCCTCAAAATGGAATTCATCCGTATAATTGTCGCTGGACTAGAATAAAAGTTATGAAATTAATTTAATTTAAACTACATTAGTTGTAGAAATTACTAAATTCAAGTACAAGATTTCATTTTTTGTTTCGAATGTGCAATGTATTCTGATATCTAAGTTGTGGTATTCGATTGTGATTAAACCGAAAGTTCTCACAGAACCATTCCAATTAATGATTTCGTTCATCTTAAAAAAACTTTTTATAAAATATGTTTTGAAAAAAATTGTTACTGTTCCATTATTGTGTTGCACTAAGAAACAGTTTTGCAGCAAGGAATAATGAAACATTGATAGAATTTTACTATCATGGTAAACCTTCCCATGATAATCTATCAATATTGTCAGAAATGAATAAACTTTGCTCATTTTCTAAAAAAAAAGATTGGAAAAAAAACTTTTACCAATATAAAAAAAAGGCTTACTTTTTATTTTCTATTTGTTATTCTTATTATTACGAAAAGCTGTTCGTTTTATTCGTTGTATTTTTAATATGATCTAAAGAAGTAACGGAAAAGAGTGGATATAATATACATGAACATGTAGTACTGCTTTCTATTTTCGCTTTTCTGTATGTATAGTAACGGTTTTCCACTTTTCAAACCAAGTTATTTTTGGATTCGATGTTCGTAGAAATTAGAATAGATTTTAATTTAATTCACTTTCTCGTAGAGAAGAGTCTCGCAAACATGAATTGTCAGCTTGCTTGTGTGTCCACACTTCAATGATTGATCCAAAAGTTAGGTAAACGTATGAAAGGATTTTTTTTATAATGATTGATCGACGTATCATCGAGATCGAGCAACTCGAATCTGGTCTTAGTTTTTAATTTTTTTTCGGGTCAATTCTTTTACAAAAAATATTTTTTATAAGAGTTGATCGAACGATTATCAAGATTGCGGAACTCAAATCTGAAGTCGGTTTTTAAAACTATTGAAATAAATAGATTACTGGAAGCGACGACATATCGGTTCTACGAGAAAGAGCTGAGCGAGTCTTCAAACGAGTGTTACTTGTTTTTTTTTTGTTCTCAATGTAATTTATTGATTTGAATAATAAAGATATAAGAAGCAAAGCATTGAATGTTACAAAAGATTCTATCAAAAATCGTCTACACCTTTTTTGTGGGTGTGGATGTGCACATCAATAAAAAAGACGCTGGAACCCATCCACACCCACGGTGGTGCATTCAACATGGTATGGTTGTAAGCGTAGGTGTGGGTGTAGGTAATGGATTCAAGACACATCCATCCACACTCACATCCTAGACTCGCATCGACACCCACACCCACACCCGATATTTGAATCCGATAGAATTCCGAAGCGACGGAATCCGAAGTGAACCCGTCACCAGAAATCCTATAAGATTTTGTCAGATTGTCGGATGCTGATAGAATCCAGTATAGGATCCGATAAAAAACAACATTAAAGTCGATAGAGTTCTACATTGGATTGGTTGACCTGGGCAACATGCATTGGCATGCTAATAAGTAACACACGAAGATGGAGTCATATTTCAGAGTTAAACATCATTTTTTTCTTAGACAATTCTTCAACTAATAAGCACGGTGTGAAAATTAATACGAGCCAGAAACAAACGATTTCGGCTTTGTACATACTTCTCTACGAGAAATACAACATCAGAGTATGCACAGAAGCGCTTTTCCTCCAAAATTCGATTTCTATTGACTCTCACCGAATCATTTACCTCAGTCTTACCTTCTCCCTGAGTTGTCTGACTAAACAGACCTCGGATTCGGAGTCTCTGATTCCATAAAAACCTTTTGGTTAAGTTCTATAACGTATTATGTGTTTTTTCACCTTGGATATTTTTTAGGCACTGACACCTACATACATACAAACGCATTTTATTTCATATGATCCTCCCTACAGTCGAGGGAATAAAACAGAGTAATAAAATAAAATACAATAAGATAAAATAAAAAAAGTAATAAATAAAATGCAATAAGATAAAATAAAAAGAGTAATAAATAAAATGCAATATAATGGAATGAGATAAAATAAAAAAAGTAATAAAATAAAATGCAATAAGATACAATAAAATACCGAGATCGAATGATGCCACGTAAGATCTTGTAATCTGGGCAAAATCTTGCAAGAATCTGACGAAAAATTGTCGTCTTACGAATCTTACATTAGATTATACTAAAGATCCTATAAAGATCCTACATGCACTCTATTGTCACCACAAATTTATTTTGCTATCCCAGGGCGAATAATTGAATACTAAGATCTGACAAGATTCTGCATATCATTTTGCCTGATTGTATAAGATCATAGGAAAATCGTCGTCTCTGAAATCTTATATCAATGTGTACCATAAGATTTTTAAAAGATCTTAAAATAGAGCAAGATCTTCCAAGAGTTTGATACTACGCATTAATATAAGATCTCAGAGAGGACGATTTTTTGACGTAGGTGAAGTAAGCAGCCGATTCGAGTATTTCCACCGGCGATTCGTCTATGATGCATTCCAGAGGGTTGCGGAAGAGTTCCAAGTACAATTCGATGAGCTCTATCGAATTGTGTGCTCAGATTTTTCGTAGCTCAAAGTAAAACAATTTCGATTTTGGTGACGCCATCTGTTGGTCAAAAAATTTTACTTTGAGCAACGAAAAATCTGAGTACACCATTCGATAGAGCACGTCGAGTTGTGCTTGGAACTCGTCTGAAACGCTCTGGAACGCATCACAGGCGAATCGCCGGTGGAAATACTCGAATCGGCTGCTTACTTCACTTACGTGATTTTTTGTCAGATTTTTGTAAGATTTCGATTATATTACAGAATCTTGTACGTACATCATAAGATTTTATGTCAGATTTTTTGACCTGGGATTTTAAAGCTATATTAGTTTAACTAAAACATTTCTGTGATATTTCATGACACATAAGGATCTTATACGAGTCTTTTCATTGGACTAGGGATGTACCGAGCCCGAACCCGATCCCTGACCGAGACTCTCGGACTCGGGATCGATCAAAGCTCGGGTGCGAGGATGTGGGTGAGAGTGAGAGTGTGGGTGTGATGAGTGCGGTTACTATCCTTTTTACTCTCATTCACACTTTCACTCACACTCACTAATACCCGTCCTTACACTCGAGCCTGAGAATAGCCGAATCGGAGCCTTGGCCGAGCCTGAGACTAATCCAGCTCTGACGGAGCCCGAGCTTCTCAGGCTCCGCACATACCTAGATACGACTTAGTGTAAGATGCCTGAGATGAGGATTTCATCTGATCGTAGCAGATCAAATATGATCAGACGTACGATCCTTGTAAGATCTAACTATCTGATTTTTCGCCCTAGGTAGATTAATAATAATAGTTAATGATCTTGCCTCGATCTTTCCAGATTCTTGTTTTCCTTTACTTTCAGATAAGATTCCTGTATTCAGACAAGATCCTAGTCGGAGTAATCAAAAATGAAAGGATCAGACA